TTGCAAGATATCAAACAATGAAATAGCAAAATGCATAATGAGAGTAAAATGCATAATGAGAGTGGCTGAGCAGGTACCATTTTATCAGTCAATTTATAAACATTAAACAAACCTCCCTGGTCAAAATGTACTTATGATGTCTTTGTGTCACACACTTTATCTGCATGATTTGTTCTTCAGCTTCATCTCAATGAATATCCCTAGTCATCAAGTAAATTGACATATCAAGCTTTGTATGCAATCATTCCAGTACTTTTATCTTGAATATTGATGTACATGTATATGTAGTAGGCTTTTTAGAATATTGTAATAGAAATTGGTAAAGCCTGAAGAGGCTCAGGAAGGGAGCAGTTGCTGACCTAGGCATTTATTGAAGGGGGGGTAGCTGCGGTGTATAAAGAAGCAGTATTAAACCTATTAAATGTTGTGTTTTACACATTCCAATATTGTCTGAAATTTTTCTGTCTGATTATAGATAAAGCTACTGAAGGTCTTCAGCCAAAGTTAATTTGTCTTGAAATATCAAATGCCCCTCCCAAGAATTAGACGTTTTATGGTAAATAATGAAAAATTTTGCAACGAAAGGAAATTTCACTGAAATTGGTAATGTTAGGTTTGTTGTGACATACCAAGTAAAGATATGAATGTTTCGTTGAGAAATATTGATAGCCCCCCAGACAGAAAAGGGATTTTTATGCTAATGATGAAAAATTTTCAACACGGAGCTATTTTGTAAAAATTGGTATTGTTGGGTCTGTTGCGATACGCCAAGTTCAAATATGTATATTTTGTTGAAAAATATTATTAGGGGGCCCCCTATGGACAGAAAAGGGATTTTTATGCTAATGATGAAAAATTTTCAACGCGGCACTATTTTGTAAAAATTGGTATTGTTGGGTCCGTTGCGATACGCCAAGTTCAAATATGTATATTTTATTGAAAAATATTATTAGGGGGCCCCCTATAGACAGAAAAAGGATTTTTATGCTAATGATGAAAAATTTTCAACGCGGAGCTATTTTGTAAAAATTGGTCTTGTTGGGTCCGTTGCGATACGCCAAGTTCAAATATGTATATTTTATTGAAAAATATTATTAGGGGGCCCCCTATAGACAGAAAAGGGATTTTTATGCTAATGATGAAAAATTTTCAACGCGGAGCTATTTTGCAAAAATAGGTATTGTTGGGTCTGTTGCGATATGCCAAGTTCAAATATGCATGTTTCGTTGAGAAATATTGATAAGGGAGCCCCCCCTGCACAATATCTTAAAAAGTAATGTTATTTTGCTGCAGTTCCCCTGCTTCTCGCCAGGATATCTACAATTTTTTTCAAGGTGTTACAACTAAAATAAAAGATGGAACTGTGAGGCCATGGTAAGATTACCTAATAATGGGTGTCTTCCGTGATTATCAGTCAATTTTGTTGCGAAATTGTCCCGAATTCCCCCAATATTTATTTGCTGCACTTTTATTGAAAACCGCATGGGCAACTTGAAACGGGTTTTCGTCTAATTACTAACGAACGGTTTGGGATACGGTCATAGTTACTTTGTTCAAATTTATATAGTATCATAGGCTATTCGTGTCTAAAATATGGTGTACCTGTGTTGATTGTAACGTGATCTATTTGGCTCTAAAGAATTCTTGGTAGGAACGCGTTTTACTACTTCGAGCCCCTAGAACTGGAGATAGGTGAATAGTCTATATTCTCACAAAAGATGAAGGAAGAGCAAATTTATTAACACTACAGGCTCAGGTTTCCAAAGACTGTGACTGTGCCAATGCTATAATGCCAAAGCTACAGGGTTTGCTGAATGTTTTGGAATGTGATATGATCTGTATTCTTTAACCATGATAATGGCTTGTTGGTTACATCGTATGATAGTTTTAAGTTTACTGTAAAACTTGTTTCCATTCAAAGAATGTCAGATAAATGTACATAATGATATGGTAATGAATATTCCTATACTGTCAGTGTCAAGAGAGGCCTGTCAAATAATTGTTATAGGATTTTAATTGTTGCAATATCAAACATTATTTCTTCTTTTGTGGACAAAATAGTTTTATTGATACAAGAATATTGAGCTCTAAGTTCAAGAAATATTTTCTTATGTGCAGAATGTTTTTCTCATTATAAGAACTGTTAGCTAGCTCTTAGCTCAAGAAATGTTTTCTTGTATATATACAGAATGATTTTCTTGCTACAAGAATAATTAGCTCTTAGTTCAAGAAAGTTTTTCTCATGTGCAGAATGGTTTTCTTACTATAAGAACAGCTCTTCAAGAAATGTTTTCTTGTATACAGAATGATTTTCTTGCTACAAGAATAATTAGCTCTTAGTTCAAGAAATCTTTTCTCATGTGCAGAATGGTTTTCTTACTATAAGAACAGCTCTTCAAGAAATGTTTTCTTGTATACAGTATGGTTTTCTTGCTACAAGAATAATTAGCTCTTAGTTCAAGAAATCTTTTCTCATGTGCAGAATGGTTTTCTTACTATAAGAACAGTTAGCTCTTAGTTCAAGAAATGTTTTCTTGTATACAGAATGATTTTTTTTCTACAAGAATAATTAGCTCTTAGTTCAAGAAATCTTTTCTTATGTGCAGAATGGTTTTCTTATTATAAGAACAGTTAGCTCTTAGTTCAAGAAATGTTTTCTCGTATACAGAATGATTTTCTCGCTACAAGAATAATTAGCTCTTAGTTCAAGAAATAGTTTCTTGTCTACAGAATGAATTTCTTACTACAAGAACAGTTAGCTCTTAGTTCAAGAAATGTTTTCTTGTAAACAGAATGATTTTCTTGCTACAAGAATAATTTAGCTCTTCGTTCAAGAAATCTTTTCTTATGTGCAGAATGGTTTTCTTATTATAAGAACTGTTAGCTAGGCTCTTAGTTCAAGAAATGCTTTCTTGTATACAGAATTATTTTCTTGCTACAAGAATAATTAGCTCTTAGTTCAAGAAATATTTTCTTGTCTACAGAATGGATTTCTTACTACAAGAGCAGTTAGATCTTAGTTCAAGAAATCTTTTCTATATACAGAATATTTTTCTTATTACAAGAACAGTTAATTCTTAGTTCAAGAAATCTTTTCTTGTCTACAGAATGGTTTTCTTACTACAAGAACAGTTAGCTCTTAGTTCAAGAAATCTTGTCTACAGAATGGTTTTCTTACTACAAGAACAGTTAGCTCTTAGTTCAAGACATATTTTCTTGTGGGCAGAATGGTTTTCTTGCTATAAGAACAAATAGCTCTTAGATCAAGAAATATTTTCTTGTGTAACAGTTAGCTCTTCGTTCAAGAAATATTTTCCTGCGAACAAGATAGATATTCTTCCTGTAAGAACCCGTAATTCTTATCATGAGAAGAATATTCTTAATGGTTTATTAGCTTTAAGAAATAAATTCTGAGAATAAGAACAACGTGGCGTGGGTTTCTTGAATTTTCTGGAAACGGGGATTCTTGTTCAAAGAATAAGGTTCTTGCTGACAGTAAAAAGTTCTTTGCACAAGAAAAAAATTCTTTTAGTGTAATGCAAGAACATGAATCTTAATCTATTTCTATGTATCACAAGAATTTTGGTCTTGACAGAAGAAATATATTTTGGGTGTGAGATGAAGTAAGAAGCTATTTCTAGCAGATAAGAATGTAGTGTTCTTGGGATAAGAACGAAAATCTTGCAAGAATAAAATAACTTCCAGATTTATAGAATTTTAGGCTTGTATTGAGAACTGCAGTCTTTGTATAAGAACAATTGTCTGCATCACGAATCTTACTGTAAGAATAAGATTCTAGAAGTAACCAACAATAACTTATATAGAAACCTATAAGAAAAATATTCTTACTGCAAGAAAAAGTCTATCAAGAAAAAATTACTTAATTCGTGGACAAAATTTCGTTCTTAAATACAGAAAAATTTGCTTCAGGGAAGAAATATTTTCTGACTGTAAGAAAAAACAAGAATGCTAGAAATGTCATTTTTGGTAGTGATGTTGTTGCCAAATTAAAAAGTTTGCAGACTAGAGTTCATTGATGCAACACGAATGCCAAGCTAGAAGAATTATTTTTTGTCAAATGTGCCATAATATAATAGCTATTGGTGGCTGGGTTGAGGGAAAACAGTGTTTGTATGATATTGAATAGTCTAATGCAAAGACTCATACCCTGATAACCTTCTTTGATTATCTTACATGACTTGTGCTGTATTGTATTGTTATTAGATGTTATTTTTGTGGTACGTTTTTTTTCTGCCTTGAACTGTGTTAAGTTGCTGCTTGTTAAAAATGGAATATGAAGATAAGTAGTTACGTGTAATTTTACATCAGTTATCCTGCAAGAATGCTATTATCATATTTCCAGCTGAGTATACACATACATTTGCATATCTTTGACTTGTTGGAGCTTGACATTAAATACATAAACATTGTTCATGTATTTCGCATATTGTCATTTTTGTAAAGACCTATATGATCATGAAATAAAAGACTAACTTTCAGACAACTTCCGGCTCAACAATATTATTGGAAAACAGACACAGTGTGGCAGGTAGAAACAGAGTTCTGTGTACTGGAGTTGGTAAGAACCAGTGAGAATGAGGAGATAGTTGGCCTTATCACTCACATACATGCATGTCTAAATAGGGTCACTCAATCACACTTGTTGTAAGAAGTGGAATGGTCTATACTGTACTTATTAAGAATATGGGCGTGAGTGCTCTGAAAAGGAGCTATTAATAATCGCTTTAGATTAGAATATTAACAATAATTATTATACTCCTATCAAGCAATGTCAAACCTTAAGTGTTTCACAAATCCAAGTGCTCAACTATGTGATTTAGAAGTAGTCTGCAAGAGTACAGCATCATATATATAGGGCACATTTGATAATAAAGCAAAGCAGACATGTACATGTACCCAAACTGCATTGGGTTATTTCTTCCTGGATGTAAAAAGTACTGCAAACAGAAAAAAAACATGAAACACTACTTACAAATAAAAAACAGAATCTGACATAACATTGCCTTAACTTGAAGCACATTGAATTTTTCTTGATATAATATTTTCTCAAATTTGAACAAGCCTGCCGGCCGCCTGGACAAAACATAATGCTATATATGGGCACAAAGCAAAGCTTGCCAGTCTAAAGGCAGACTACAGTACTCTATAAGCATGCTTAGCATACATTATGTAGATATCTTTCCTTTTTAATCGAACGTATAATACAAGCAAATACACTACTTAAAACATGCCTCGAAACTTTGGCTATTCATAATACATTACCAACAAATTCCAAATAACATATCATTTTGAAATTCTTTGATGCTATATATTAATTAACATAGATTAATATATTACTTTCAAAAGTCAGGGGTGAAATCTGGGAACATGTCATCTTGTTCTAACACCCTGCTCTTCTTTGCCTTTGGTGGACAGAAGCGTCCCCTTTGATTGTTGTCGGGCCGTTTGAATGATGCTCCCTTCTGATTGGAGGACCCTTGGTTTGTCTGAGTACCTCTCACTGGCTGAGGAGCATGTCTTGAACCTGAAGACATTGAGGTTTGAGGGGCCTAAGGAAAAGATAAGTCATTGGTTTTGAATTCATCTTGAGGTGTCCAACTTCCCTGTAAAAATCCACTGATTTCTTGTGAGCCTATCAAAAATCGTCATGATTGAAGCTAAGTATACTTCTTATCTTGTTGTATTTTGTCTGACACTGATCTTTTCCCTCATGACCTAAAATTAAAAGCAGCTAGCAGGATGATTTGACTTTTCTGATTATTTTTCAAAATCCTCAAACAAGTCAAGCTATGCTAAAAGTAGCATAGCTATGGTTCAACATTATTTCCTGAGACTCAGACTTTTTATCATTTTTCTTTATCAAAACAGATATCATAATACTTTTATAATTCTAATTCAACTTTGAACTTTGAACCTAAGATGCTGTTGCATAAATGTAAAACACACCTTCATGAAAGTCAGGCTATGCAAAATTACTTTTTAACATTACTTCATGACTTGTGGACAATTATATTTATATAATCTAGCACACAGTTCATTGTGTCAACTAGATACTAATTTTCAAACTATATAAAACTGCATACCTGGGGAGTAGCTGAGTACTGAAACCTGTGTTTTGCCTGCTGCCCTGTGGTTGGTTGTCTGACATGAGGAGTCAGACAGTTGTACAGGCCTGACTTCACCAGGAGGGGGTTGAACATATCCTCCACCTCAAGCTGTCAAAGTGCTAACATGTTGCTTTGGTACAGCACGTCGGTAGAACATACTGCACATATGCGCAAAACCCGTAGTGTAGTGCATAGCACTTCGTGAGAACTTCTCATATAAGATTGTTTTTGCGTTTGTAAGGTTAACATCCCGTCTGTAGTTTCCAAAGGTTATGTCAGAAAAGATATCCTCTGCAACAGGCAAAATTTTTTATTAAAAATCAAATGAAACTGTGAAAAATCAGGGTTTTTCGCAGGTGCAGTACTTTCTGCTGACGTGATCTTAACAGTACTTTTAATACAAGTTTTAGTACATTATCAAGGGATAGAAAAAATATAAAACATTCAGAATTAAGTACACATGCACCTCAAATTAGCATAAAGTAACAGAAATACAGTACATTGTACCTCAATGTATCAATTTGCAATTCTGGCACAGTAATTTTTTCTTATATATTAAAAGTTAAAGATGTCTCTTGCATGAGTCCAATTCAGATATGCAAATTTAAAGTTCTGTATAAAATTAAGCTTTATCCTCCATCTACTGAGAACATTACAATTCCATCTGCATAATTTAGAATAATAAAGTATAAAAGTTTTCAATGACAAGACATAAATAAACTAGAAAGGTCAATATTTGCTTTGGAGCAAATACAGCGATGGGTTCACCACATTTTACGACATGGCAGGGAAAGAATGAGAAACACAAGGGAAAACAATGATTTACATTACTATAATATGAAGTAACATACAACTAAAACAACATTTGGATAGCTATTCCCTACTTTATTGGTTAGGATTTTTAATTGCATAATGCAAACTGTTGATTTTCAAAATAAATAAAAAAACGTTCATGCCCCGCATTCCAATGCTGGAGCAGAAAAGCTTGAAATGCCTACCAAAACACTTGAATAAAGACATACTGTCAGTATGGAAATGCTCTGTGCAGGTGTTAATCAAGTTAAATCCCAACAGCCAATCAGCAAGAAGTATAGAGGAAAGCTGCATGCCTATTGGTTGATGCCCTGCATTCCATTGTGATGACTCATGCCCAGAGGTGGTAAACAGGGCACACTAACACAGTAATACATTTGCTATAACACAGCCAAAAAACTCAAATAAAACCATTCTAAAAGCCTGTATCACAAAAATTTAAAAAACGCCTAGGGGTATTTGCCCACTGTACCCCCATACCAAATTTCAGGACCTTATAGGCCCTAAAATGAAGAAGCTGAATCCATTTAAAAAATGGCAGGAGAAGAAGGAGAAGGAGGAGAAGGAGAAGAAACATCAGAAAAAGCAATATGGGTTCACCACCACTTCGTGGTGTGGTGAACCCATAAATATCAGTCAGTTTTTGTACATAGGCTACTAGTATTTGCAAGTACATGGACTTCAGAAACATGCATTATATGGTTGAAGCATAGTGTATGAAACAAACTTGAGGCAAGAACAGTAAACTTAAAAAAAAAAAAATCAAAGAACTCCCTTACCTGAGCTACGGAACTCTCCACAGTGTCCATGGCCTCCTGTGCAGGTGCCTCAGCAGGACGGATGAAGTCACAGGGCAGCAGCAGTTCTCCCACAGCCACAGGTTTGATCAGCAGAGAGGTGGACTGGGAGGGGAGGAGGAGGAAGTGTGCTCTGGGGGAGGGACGGGGAGACTTCTGCTGGTACTGGCCTGCTGGGGGAGGATCTCGTGTTGCCAGGATTGCTAGACCCTACAGCGGGTGTACAAATTTCAAAATGTTTAATAAGTTTATTTCACTCTAAGAGAAGTATAAAAAGCAACACAATCATTTTCCAATAAAAGGGGACTTTTAAAATGAGCTAATTCATAAAAAGTAAAAGAAAAAAGTGCCCTCTTGCAGAACATGTAGAAACTGCAGTGCAGCAATATGCACGCACAAACACATAGACACACAGATACACACACAGACACACAGACACACTCACACACAAACACAGGCATACGTAAAATAGTAGATCACTTTTTAGTCCCTAGGGGATGTAATGCTTGCTAAACCCGTCTTCTTTTAATTGGAAGGCATATTCAGCACCAAGGACAGACTAAATGGATACAAGTCTGACACTTCAGATTTCCTGTAAGGCCACACTGCCTTAATTTAATGGATGACATCCTCTGAAGACAACCAAACTAGTGCGCGCTAGCGAATAAAAGATTTGACCAGAAAAAGCATATGCTGCTAAACCACAGGAATACAAAGCTGGTATTGTGAATTTGTGGTAGTACATATATTGCATAGCAACTTTTATGACAAGCCGGCAGATGCTGGCCTTTTGCGGAATTTATGAGTCAGCACTGTTCCGAGATCTTGAGTTCCGTGAAGCCTCAGCAGCCTGAGCTGGGTGCTGTCCTCCGTAGTTACCTCTGGCTCCCTACTGTCACTAGCTACCATGGACTACGGATGATGGCACCCAGGACAGAATTTTTTTTTTGAGAACAGGCGAAAATCAATGCAAGCGCAGATGTCATCCATAAAATTAAGTCAGTGGCTTAAGTAATAACAATAAGCCCACTGTGCCTGACCTTTTCCTGCAGCATGTGGCAGAGAGCGTGGAAGTTTGTCTGGTTTGATTCCAACTCTTCCCAGTCTAACTTCCAGCAGGAGGTGGCAGTAACTACCAGGGGCTTGAGAAAAGAACAAAAGTCACTCTGTAATAGGGTATCCTGATATTAGTTATATGCACTTTATATAACAATCCTAACATCAATATCAACTAAAAAGGAAGCTAATCAGGTACATACTATAATTACATTGTATACCTGTTACATTGGAGATACCTTTTGATATTCTTTGGTAATTACGTAGTCTTCCAACTTCTCAACCTTATGCAAATCTTAGTGACTAATTTGAGTTTGAAAAAAAAAAAAGAAACTTACCATTCCGTAAACCTAAAGTTGGGTGCAAACAGAATAGAAAGATAATTACTAATAGTAAATGTTCAACATACAATAATAAATGTTGAATGTAGATTCTAATGTTTTTCATTGTTGATATGAATGCTGTAGTTATCAGTGGATGTAACTATTACATCTGATAATTAAGGCAAGAAGCAGGCAAAAGTAAAAACTAGAAAGCCAGTAAAGGCTGGTAGGCCCCCTACTGACATTCAACCAAACTGCATGTTTCACATATGCATACTAGTTACATGTAGTTCTAAATAACACATAGCACATGTGAAATTCAAATCTCCTATGTTATAAATATAGAGCAGCACTGAGTAAAGAGACTCTTTTTACACAACAAAGTGTTTTATTCACAGCTGACGTTTCGGTGACCGTCTGTCACCTTCCTCAGGGCAATTCTGACTGGTTCACATTGCACTGCAGCACAGGTGTTGCTGCTATAGATGCCTTCCCAAATGTACAATATCTACATAATTATCTACATATCATATATATGTGGAACTGTATCTACAATGCGGTCCCAAACGTACAAGAGTATGTTATACACATAATTCAATGGTCAGTTATTGAACAAAGCAGTTACCAACCTGATGAAACTATTCATGGATAGAGCAGTACAGTAACTGTAAACCTTTTGGAGTTCTACTAAGAGATGCATGTAAAAGGGATTGCTCTTACCACAGATTCACATATGCTGTCTGTGTTGACTAGTTTGACAGCAGTGAGTTTGTAGACAGGTACAGCTGAACCTGTAGTCCTACTCTGGGCAGAAGTGCTGGAACTCTTGGCAAAGTTATCTGGTAACAATGCCTGGGTAGAGATGAGATAATAAGACAGAAATCTAACACAGTCTTCTAAGGCCACACCAATTTAATTTGTTGGTTCTCGGATCCGCCTCTTCATTTTCTTCTGATTTCAAAAAAAAAAAAAAGATTCTGGTTTTGAATCAACTAAGAAAGAATGTATCTTTTTCCCCCAACAGTTAAGGAAAGTCTATTTTTTCCTAGTTGCTACTGTTTTTCCATCTATCAATGCAGTGGTTTGATTAAAAGTTCAAAATTCTTTGTCCAAATCTTGACCCAGCCTTTTGTGTTGACTTAATTCATGGCTCCTATTGTAGCATTTGGCGCTATAATATGATGCAGCCTAGACCTCTTTTTTTTCCCTGTCGCTACATATTTTTCCTGAAAAAATCAGAGAACCAACAAATTAGATTGGTGTGGCCTAAAAAATGCTGTTAAAAAGACACCGATTTGGACTGAACCATGGTGCTGTATCAACTATAATGTATAGAGGCTTTTCATTGACGTCATAATAATTATTTGATATGAATCTTGGTGACCAGGTGTTGGCAGGTAAATTGATTAAGTAGCAGCATGTTGGCGTGTTTAAAAGAAAAACTGTCACTGTAATCCAACATGGTGTATGTGAAAACCCTCTATTAATTTAAAAAAGCTCTACAATAGAAAATTTAATGCAGAGAGGGCGTAGCACTTGGGAGCTATAATAGGTCTGGTAACCAGGCCTTAGCTCTAGAATGTAGAGCTTCAATTAAGGGTTAATGTCCCGCCCCGAGGTGAATATGGTGTGATAAAGCCTTGTCAGTTGCTATAACCACAGAATAAAGCCACCAAGTGAGCGCAGCGAACGAGGTGGCTTTATGAGGTGGTTATAGCAACTGACAAGGCTTTATCACACCATATTCACCGAGAAAGGGCGGGACATTAACACTATTATCATATAGCTTACACGATAGTCTATCCAAACTGATGCAGTAAGTGATACAATGCACATGCTGAATAGAACATAGAACATAGTTCCCTCTGGAGTCACCTGAGGTCACTGGGTAGAGTTCACGTTCTATGTCTTCTATCTGGGTCACAGGCAGGGAACAGGTGTTCTTATGGGAGTCAGCCGAGGTCATTGGAACACAACTTAAGTTATTTTTGGATTTTTTAGAACTAGAGCCCTGTTCTGCGGGTGATTATTTGGGTTGTTTAATGTATGGATTGGGATGAATAAATACCCGATTTTGACTCTATTTGTGACATTACGGCGTCATAAGGAATGTGGAATGGAGCCTTCTGATTGGTCAACGTCACCTGGCTATATGATAATAAATTATCATACGTACTTTATTATACGTACATGACATATCAAATCTTGATTCCAATCTAGTAATTCACCTACAATAGTAATAGGCTTGCCTATGCTGAAATTGATTGCAAGTTTAGGCGTGAAATGATTCAATCTACGAGTTGTAGTATTTCTACTACTGAATTGGGATCTAAATATCAGGATTCCAATCTCTCCTAGGAGGATTCCAGATTCCCCTAGGAGGATTCCAGTCTCCATTTCCCCTAGGAGGATTCCAGATTCTCCTAGGGGAGATAGGGATTCCAATCTCCCCTAGGAGGATTCCGGATCCCTCTGGATTCCAATCTCCCCTGTGACACATATATATAAAACACTTTTATTATATATGATTAGTTGGTTAATTGGAAATTTGAAAAATATTCAGAGAACGATGCATCTCAAATCTCATATTATTAACATTTCACACGTCACGTAATTACTTGTACTGCCAGAAAAATACTTTTAATTTACTTGGTTCATAGATCTTGTGATTATCACTAATTATTAGATGAACATGACAGATGAACATTACACAGTGACTGTACTTCTGATAGTGATTATTGATTCCTAGAGCTACATGTACATGTGGTATACATACAAAGTTGAGAGGCTGCAGCAGGTTTGTAGGGTCCAGGATTCTCTCAGACAGGTCACACTTCATGGTCAGAGCTCCAATACCTGTGTTTGACACAGCCATTAGTTGCAAAAACCAGTCCTATTTCATACTGATTTGGTGTTCCTTAACCTTTGAAGTTTATCTAATAACGCAATCTTTTAAAATATTAAAGAGGTAGAAATACTTTTTTTTTCATTATCCTGCAATATTGCAGACTGTCAAAAATTTTGTTTTGGAATTTATGAAATACTTGCCGCAAATATATCTGGATCTAAACCCTTGGCAATTTATATACAAAATCGCATGTTGTCAAACATTTTGAAAAATGCATGCAAAATGATTTTGACCTAAGTAGTAAACACAAAATCTTAAACCGCTAGTCTGACTTTTTTTCAGTCTTCAAATTGAAGGTTGCTTAATATATCTTCAGAATTTGAAAATGTTTCAATCTGCAAAATGCAGACTGCAGATGGGTAATTAATTTAACACTATAAATGAAATGCCATGTTAACTTTAATTCTAATACAGACCTGTCGACTGTAAATTGGAACACATTTGAGCCAATGCTATAAAGGCTAGCCTGGACATCTCAGTATAAACGTGGACTGGAAGTACAACCAGAGAATGGAACAATTTTGCTGACACATGATTTGGGTGAACTGTTAAACTATACAGTATGGACAGCTTGGGTTAGTCTACGATACGATTCATCTATTTGAGTGGGTAAATTTGTCTTTCACTGCTGCCTCAAAAAAAGATTTTACTCAAACCCAGCAAAAATAGTACCATGTGTGTTGTAGAATGTAGTATTAGATGTAGTCTCTCATACAATTGTATTCTTTTTTCATACATGTACATGTTGTTTGTACCTCTAATTAGCCCTTGGGCATGTATTTGCAATAAACTTTTATGAAATTGTCAGAGTGAAGTTGAATGTTTTTATCTTACTGACCTGCCATGCCTGGCAGTGTAAGATGTAGATGTTCCCTGTCTGTCCCACTGTCCACCAGCCAACTCTTCAGGAACTGGTGCAGGCTCACTCCATCTGTACAATGTTTAGTGCATGCAAACTGTTGAAGACAAAAGCTCAAGTAGTGGAAAAATAAAACACGACCAAAAACATCTGAATTTTCTTCTGTTACTGCACACGGCCACAACTTCAGACCGAGTGCCATGGAAGGATGCCTCACTACATGTACAGTAACTATACTGTAACAGTAAATAATTACATCAAATTGAATTGCTCATAATCACTTGTTGATGTGATGGTTAACCAAGTGACAGTTAACGGTCATCTTCATCATATTACTATTATTTTAAGAAATTATTAGACTATCAGATATGACTCAGATTCATTAAAGAACCTACCACACATACATGTATATTGTTATTATTTTAGAAGAATGGGGTATAACATCTGTGTCCATAATACCACCATAGTCCATAATATCGCCACCTTGAGAAAAAGTGTGCTTAAAGATATTTTTACTGCAACATACCCTAGGTATGTACATTTGAGGTGTGCAGGAGTGCATATGTATACCAAAAGTATGTTGCAGTAAAAATATCTTAAAGCACACTATTTCTCAAGGTGGCGATATTATGGACCCTGGTGATATTATGGACACAGATGTTACCCCATGTGTGATAGTTCAAACCAAAACAGTCCAAATTACAGATTCTGAACCAATGTGTTGCATTATGAAGTAGTTTACAAGTATAACAATTATTCAGGTTACAACAGTTGTAATCATCATCTTTGCCACATCTAAGGATGTTGGTACCACATCTTGGTACCACCTAAGGAAGGTTGTCAGTGTTTTTCGCATTCGCTTAAGTGTTGCCCTTCCCATCTGCAACCCATCTCTGCTTGACCATGACCAGGTCATTGCTTGGCCTCACCTTTTTTTCCTGCACAGTAGTCATTGTGAAAACTTGTTACTGTAATACGTTGTAGCAAACTAGTAAAACGCACCATTGTCTAGATGTACCACATCCACCATTCCACAGCTTAGTCCAGCTTCACCTGTATGTTGTACAAATAACAGCAAGTAGGATGAACACCGTGAAATATTGTAAATCATTTTTTTTTACAATAGCAAAAGTTGGCAGTCTAAGAAAAATGGACATGTTTGCAGAACTATATAATTATATACATGTTCGCTGTGGCAGCAGGTACAGAAAAAAGAAGTTAGTCGGCAAATCATGTGTTTGCGGTAATGATAAATTCACAGTACAAAAGAGACTATAAAAGTAAGATTTACAGTGATTTCAATCATTGGCATATATTAATAGAAAAATGATACATCATATCAAATATCCAATAATAACTACTTGATAAAACTCTTTATGTATTCAATTGAATTGTTATTGATAATGTAAATATTATTAGAGTAAACAAATGGTGATTAGGCCAGATTGCTTTTAGATAGCTTGTTATTGAAGGAACACAGAATCTGATAAATAATAACTTCTTTGGTACTCTGTTATTGCATCTGAATTGATTGTCTTAATGATTGCCTTTTATGATAATCTTCGAGAAAATATGTTTCGTAAAATTTATACAAAATCACCTGACATCATATTGGAAAGAGATAAAAATAGACTTACTAGTAAGTGGTTCTTTAGCGAGGGTGTATCTGACCTAGCAACTTTCATTTATCGAGCGTGGGGAAAAAGAACAAAACACCTGTATTCATAACATATCTGATCAACAGTTTTCACCTTTTGTTACTTCTGCATATTTCTCCTATTATATTTGATTTATCTTATGTTCTTGTATTTATTTTGTGAAATCTTGGTTCATTATGTACAGATTTGTTTATTTGCATTTATGATCTGTTATGAATTTACTTTGTTCACCATTATTATATATAGCCTACCTTTTTTTGTGTTCATATTTTGTTTGGATTCCGTTATCTGTACCTTTGATTCTCTTTTGTTTATGTATTACTTAAACTCAAACGGTGTCATATAAGCCCACACGGGCTGGGCACGAGAAGGCGCACAACACGAAGTTTCATTCATTCATTCATTCATAGAATGACTCATCTGGTACCAGTCCTAATACAATGTTAATGAAAATCTTAATTGTAACCGACATTGTTCACTGTTAATATTTATAATTGTTTATTGTCCTGTTATGAGGGCTAACCCTTTATAATACCCTCTGGCTATAGTTGGGCAGTCCTGGCTGTATATTTGTTTATACAGTTTAATAAATCAGATCATTTTATAAATCAGATCAAATCAAAGCTATTTACCTCCACTGGCAGTGTTGTTACTGGGACTGTCTTCTAATATATCAAGATCCGAGGCTCCCAGGTCCTCTGGCTGGCTCATACACACCACCTGTACCTTCTGTAAGGAGGAATAGACAAAGGTACACATTGTCAAAACTTTAAGATAACAAAATTTAGTCTAGACTCTATAACAGCCTTAGTACGGAGGACTTCCACCACTCGAACCTACATGATGTCAACCCACAGGATAGAGGCAAAAGACAGGCTGCTATCAAGCCTCAGCATCAGAGTGCAATCACATCTAACCTCGGAAGATGGGGAACAACAGATGATAAACCTGACTGTGAGTGACCGCCCTGGGTGGATAAGTCTGGTTGACAGTTTAATTGCCCCGACAGCAGGACAGTCTGCTATGGGACCGGTGAGTTGAGGTGAGGAGTGAGTGTGAGTGACTGAGTTAGGCTAGTGCTCTTCATTTTGCTCTATGCGGCTGCGGCTTCTGGACTGACTGTAACAGTTGTATCAGCTGGACACATTTGACACCAAGTGTCTGTGCAGGATCCTTGGCTACCACTGGTACAACTTACATCTCTAAAGCCACTGTATGCTGAAAACCAGGCAACCACCTGTTTCACTCAAAATCAGGAAGGCTGGCCTACAACTCTTTGGCCACATAGACAGGACAGATGACCACAATCCTGAAAGTAGCCAGCCTACTGAAGGAAGCTACACCAGCAGGCTGGGCAATGTCAAGTCAAGTTTACTTCGCAATAGTTGCATCGGATACATTGTATGGCAAATAACACTTAATAACTATAAACTATTTCTACTATAATATCTTTATCATTCAACACATGTACATGTCTAGAATAGAGGCAGATACACACACACACATACACCAACCTTCCCTCAGAGTAAGCAAGGATGAGTGGGTGATATAGTCTATTGAAAAGCCATTTCTTTGAGGGCATTAAGAATACTCAATCTAATATCATTGAACATTCAAGCATATGTAAATTTTATACAATAACCCATTTAGAATTTTATCATTTCTTCCAAGCTGATGACTCAGAATGGACACAATAAAGGTATCCTTTCAATTAAGTAATACAATGTAACAGGAACAAACCTTGAGTACATCCATGTCCAGAACACAGCACACCTTCTCCACTTCCCTGTTCACAATGTTACTGTGACGACAGGTCACCACCATCAACTCCAGCTGGGAAAATTTAAAGCACCCAAAATGTTTAAGTTCAATACAAGGGCATCAATCACATGTGAATATCTGGCAATCATAACATTGATCCATATAGCTAGCTATGCATTCCAAGCCCATGTATACCAAGTAAGATATACAGTTTGCATGCATGCACATGCACATGCACACATACATGTGAAGTGATATAAATTTTCCACATAGAAAGCGACATTTAGGTAGCTACATGAACACGCCATACATGTTGACCATACATTGAAAAGCTTTAAATAAGGCGACTTCATCCTTTGGATGATAAGAGCGCCCTTTCTGAACATGCAGAAACTGCAGTGCAAACAAATACACACTGCAGGATGTTGTAACAAACAATTTCTAATATTTGTATCATTTACTAATCGGTTAAGTGTGACTGTAACATCTTCAGATAATAAGCTAACAATAAAATTTTAACATAGAATTCCAGAAGCAAAATAACCTGTTTGTACAGGTGTTGCTGCCTTTTGAACTGAGCCATGGCATCCTGTAGGCCCTGTCCCAGACACCCTGCAGTCTTCCCTCCTACCAGTCCCTCCCTCAGGAAGCTGCACAACTCCTGAAGGGCTGTGTGGATCTTGGAGAGGTTTCCTCGCACAGCTTGTAATGGGAGAAGTGTCTAATAAAATAGGGAGGAAATAAGGGAAATACATACAAAAGACTTTTATTTGAATTAAACAACCCTGGCTAAGTAGCACTATTTGCAATAGACAATGGCCTGTAGCTTGTAAGGGAAGATAATTGTGTTTTTGCAGGAAAGAAAAACAAGAAACATGAAAGATTTATTTTTAGTATTCCAACAGTTGCTCGTACTAACTGTAAACCGCCTACTAATGAATTTCTGTCCATCTTTCCTAACTGACAGTTACTCTAGACTTTAAAAGTTACAGATTTTTTGCATTATTTGACAGTCATAATGAATTATGATCAACAGCTGGAACATTGTTCATACTATATCACTACATCCACTGTGACAATGTCAATTATTTTCAAGACGCTCAGTGCTTAAAATTATTGTTCAATGCACAGTGATTAAGTCCTGAACATGTACCCGGCAGATCTCTGTTCTTACTTCTGGGTAGGTTCCGATGGCAAACAGCCCAAAGAAGGGGACCCTGGGTGGGCCTGTGATGTTTGCTGTCAGTGCCAGGATGTCCTGTAGTGCCTGCTGTACCTGACAGCAGCTGTCACTACCAAAGGGAGGGCTGAAGTCAACCAGGACTATGTGGGCTGGAATATAGAAAAAGGAAATGTTGAATCAATCAATCAATCAATCAATCAAAAATTGGTTTATTTTTCAATAGACCTGACAGCACTACTTGTAAGCAAATTGTCACCATCATCCTCGTTTATTACATGTTAATAGAACTATTAACTATAGTATTGCACATACAAATTTTATACTGTGATAAAAAATCTTACTTTAAAACCTTTGCTACATTTGAAATCCTGACATATTTGTACAGCATTAAATCCATTAATTACAACAATTTGTCAATAGCGTAATTTATCAATAGTGAGGACTCTAATATATTTAAGTTGGACAATGAAAAATACTCTCACAGTATTTTACATATCTGGAATTTTTGGTTGTGTAACAGCATTCAGCAGCATTAAAAAAAAGATAAATTTATATTATCAAAGCTTTGTTTGTATCAGCAATCTCTCAAGACATTGAAATACTAGTTCTACAGCCATATCTCAAGACTTAGTACTGTAATGCATTACATGCACAATTGCTCATATTCCTTACAGGGCTCGACATTCAGTTTTGGGAATAGGTGTAAAAGATTGGGTGCACAAAACATTTTTGGGTGCACTAACTGTGACTAAGGTGCACATCAGTATTTCAAGCCCTGCCTTATAATTACATCCCTAAGTACATTAGATTCAATCGAAAACTATTTCAATGAGCATGGGAGCTTGGAATCATATAAGAGAGATCATCAGTTACCTGGCTGTCTCCCAAACTGGGTTCTTGTCAACTGCTGCTTGTTCATGGCGGGAAACCTCCCTCAGTCAAATAGGTCTGGAAAGTTCCAAATTAAATACTCAGTCAATGATTGTGTAACATCGTTGGAAGGTATACTGGTTATGTGCATTCTTGTACCAAAGGTTTTAATAATTTTCCAAGTAACTTGATTCTTTTCACACTTTTATAAAACCGCCGTTATAGAGGAAAATGTTGTTTCTGCGACGGTGAAAATGATTTATATGATTACTCAGCAGTGTCACAAACAATATATGCCGGCCATGCAACTACAACACGTCGAAAATGTGGTCTACGACAGAACATGCAATACTGTTATGAATATGAAGCGTTCATAAACGTGTCCCGGTAACAATACTTGTCATAACAGAAATGTGTGGACAGAAACCTGGATATTTTTCCTCAGAATCTCCGCAGCTCCATATTTATCGTCTGCAGCCGACCGCCATGTTGGATGGGACGTGAAGCATTGTGGGTAACTATTCGTCAATGGCGCCAAATCACTCTGAGAAAATTAGGCCACAGCATGTAAATTTTATGGATAGCATTTTCCTCAGAGTCCAAATTTAATGCGAGAGGGCGAAAAAAGACAAGGCGGGCCGAAAAAAAACAAGGTTCTAACAATTTAAAATTTTGAAACAATCATTGTACAATTGGTTTTGATTCGGTAGGAACTGAACATCACATATACACAGTTAGCATCACATATCACTGCATCAAAGTAAGAAATAAAACATTAAATTAGAGACTTTCCTTGTCTCTTCCTCATATTTATCACGTTCCAGCATGGCAAGGCATGGCATTTTGCCCATTATCGGCATGTCAAACTGTCAAAGGGCAACAAAATTTGTTGTTTGTTTGTTTTTTTATATTCAAAATCAGGCAAAATTCAATGCTCGCGCTGATGTCATCCATTAAAATTACTTGCTGTGGCCTAAAGTAAAGCTCGCTCATGCTCAGTGCTTAAATGTAAGAACGTGTGGGTCTCTGGTGAAATAAGCTTGTACACTGATCACTTAAGTAAGGCTGCACGAGTTTTCTGCAGCGTTTTGTTGGACTAAACCCGCACTTTAGCGGCTAATAAGTGCACGTGGGTAGATCTCATGCTAAGCCGTATAATTTCAGTGCCGCAACATGCTACTTAACGTTAACCTTTATGCAGGCTGCTTGGGTGCAAGCTTAGAAAGTTCTTTCGTGTCTATAAGCTTCGAAAAACAGGTGCCATATCAAATGGAGACTATAACTCTGACAATAACAGGACACTATAGCCATGTCAGGTTACTAAATGTGGTTAATGAAGAAACTTTATATATATATATATTTGTGATTTTGTTGTGGTTTTATTGTTGCGATTTTCTTTTAGTTTCATTTTGGGGATTTTTCTTTGGATATATTTTCAAGTTTGGTTGGTTTTATTTTCGTGATAACGGGCAGTCGTCCTGGGCAGTTGTTGACTTTTTAAGCAGACTGTAACAGAACAAATCGTCAACAATCATTATGTTTTCCCATGCATAACAAGGCAGCTTGTTGTACGGCGCACATGCACGACGATATCTCAAGTATGCCCGTAGTTTGCTCCACGATAATTGTACAACGAATATGCCTGTGTCCTTGGCCTTATTAAAAAATGGGCGTATGTCGGTCCCCGACACGATAGTCTATTTTATATATAACGTCGTACCAAAGGAGTCATCGAGCTGAGGTTTAATTGTGCAGCAGATAGAGAAAATCAATCGTGCACGTGAAGATTTTTTTTTTTCAGAATGGCTATGCGCCGTAACGTATCGTCGTTAAATTGTGACATTGGCGTGGCGAGACTGCAGCTGAAGAGAAGTCACAAAATTTAATCAATTCGTCTAAGGGCCAGGTAAGTAGGCTGAATAAGGCCGTGTTTATGTGAAGTCACCCAAACCGCGATTCGGGTAACTCACATTCCTCACATCTGGTCCACGTGCCATACATTCCTTTCAAAACGTTAACGTTCCCGATCACGATTCTCCGAAACTACATTCGTTGTTTGATGAAAACACTCTAGGTAGCGTGTCATTATTGTCGGGAAAACCGATTCGAAACCACCTCTATAGTGGCTTGAGATCGAGGCGCTTTCAATGTGATTTGGAGCGTTCAGACGGAGCCACTTGAAACCGGCCTCGGGGTAAACCACATGTAAAGCGCCTTGGGTGACTTCGCATAAACACGGCCTAAGTCACATTCTGAGTTCTAGTAACCTATCTGGACAGGAAAGGAGAAAGGGGTCAAATCAGTGCCATTGCCTGACAGAGAGAGATTACATGCAAAGGCCAGACTCACAGAATTCACGAAATCCGAAGCAATGCTAAAGGCACATGAATAAAAGGAACTCTAACGCATGCTTTGGGGTTTGGTTAAAGAATTGATTTTATGCAGAGCAATAGACTCCATTTGAGCCTTGAAGTCTGGTTTAGAATTTTGTTCAACAAAACTCAAGCTATGACATGCCCAAACTACAATTCTCATGTAAAGCCATTAAAAGAAACCGCTCATACCATTTATGTAATCCTCTTTTCATACTGAGTAAAGCAATGTGGGTAAAAACGTGCTCTTCCTTATGTAACTATTAATAATAAAAATTAGCACAATCACGGTCACTACAGGTAGTAAATACATGTAAAACTCATTTACGTATCTCCGATCAAACTTTAGTGAACACACGTGAATCGGCACACGCAGCTTACATGTGTGTAAATCTCCTACGGTTAGAAGGTTATGCTCACTAGTCTTTAGTCCAATATCACTTTTTTTGTTTTTTGCATCATCACCACTGGTCGCCCAAGGGCGTTGACCTCTTTTCCCCGCGAGGGGCTCTGTCCAGTAAGGTATAGATGCTTCAAGAATGAAAGATGTGCTTAAAAATGAATTTTATGCAGTGCAATTAGAATCTACTTCAGCCTCAACCTCTGGTTTAAAATTTAGTTCGACAGAAGCATTTTCATAAGTCAAGCTATGGCTGTCACATGTGACAGGACATCCTGTGACATGACAATCTACATGTAAAACCATAAAAATAGAACCTGCTCATAACATTTATATAATCCTATTTTCATACTGAGCAAAGCAATGTGGGTAAAAACGTGCTCTTCCGTGTGTGATTATAACAATTAACACAATCATGGTAGTAAATACATGTAAAACTGACAGGGTAACCATTCAAGTGTCTCCGATCAAACTTAAGTAAGCACGTGAATCGGCTCTCGCAGCTTACATGTGACTGTGTAAATCTCCTATGGTTAGAAGGTCGTTCTCACTAGTCGGTAGTCCAATATCACTTTTTTTTCATCATTACCACTGGTCGCCCATGGGCATTGACATCTTTTCCCCGCGAGGGGCTCTGTCCAGTAATGTATAGATGGTTCAGGAATGAAAGGTGTGCTTAAGAATGAATTTTACGCAGTGCAATTAGAATCCATTTCAGCTTCAATCTCTGGTTTAGAAATTTTTTCGACAAAAGCATTTTCACAAGTCAAGCTATGACAGTCACATGTGACAGGACATCCTGTGACATGACAATCTACATGTAAAGCCATAAAAATAGAACCTGCTCATAACATTTATGTAATCCTCTTTTCATACTGAACGAAGTAATGTGGGTAAAAACGTGCTCTTCCGGGTGTTATTTTAACAATTAACACAATCACGGTCTCTACAGGTAGTAAATACATGTAAAACTCATAATAATCATTTAAGTATCTCCGATCAAACTTAAGTGAACACACGTGAATCGGCAGGCGCAGCTTATATGTGTGTAACTCTCCTACGGTTAGAAGGTTTTGCTCACTAGTCTTTAGTCCAATATCACTTTTTTTGCATCACCATCACTGGTCGCCCATGTGCCTTGACCTATTTTCCCCGCGAGAGGCTCTGTCCAGTAATGTATAGATGTTTCAAGAATGAAAGGTATGCTTCAAGATTGAATTTTACGCAGTGCAATCAGAATCCATTTCAGCCTCAACCTCTGGTTTAGAACTTTTTTCCACAAAAGCATTTTCACAAGTCAAGCTATGACTGTCACATGTGACAGGACATCCTGTGACATGACAATCTACATGTAAAACCATAAAATAGAATCTGCTCATAACATTTATGTAATCCTATTTTCACACTGAGCAAAGCAATGTGGGTAAAACGTGCTCTTCCGTGTGTATATATAACAATTAGCACAATTATGGTCTCTACAAGTAGTATTTAAGTATCTCCGATCAAACTTTGGTGAACACACGTGAATCAGCACGCGCAGCTTACATGTGTGTAAACTCTCTTAGGGTTAGAAGGTTATGCTCACTAGTCTTTAGTCCAATGTCATTTTTTTTGTTTGCATACTCACCACTGGTCGCCCAAGGGCATTGACATCTTTTCCCCGCGAGGGGCTTTGTCCAGTAATGTATATGCTTCAAGAATGAAATTTATTGTTAAGAATAAATTTTATGCAGTGCGATTAGAATCCATTTCAGCCTCAACGTCTGGTTTAATTTTTTTTTCGACAGAAGTATTTTCACAAGTCAAGCTATGACTGTCACATGTGACAGGACATCCTGTGACATGACAATCTACATGTAAAACCATACAAATAGAACCTGCTCATAACATTTATGTAATCCACATTTCATACTGAGCAACGCAATGTAGGTAAAGACGTGCTCTTCCGTGTGTAATTGTGACAATTAGCACACTTATGGTCTCTACAGGTAGTAAATACATATAAACTCGTGATAATCATTTTATAAGTATCTCCAATCAAACTTTAGTGAACACGTGAATCGGCACGCGTAGCTTACATGTGTGTAAATCTCCTACCGTTAGAAGGTCGTTCTTACTAGGAACCCGTGAGGCTAAAGGAACAGGGGTTAAAAACACGCATACTTTTTTTTTACTTCGTGGTCGCCACGTAACACGGCCGTTATTAGGCCACTTCAAGGTGAATGGTGCTACCACCTGAATGGTATCACCACTCACCTGGGTTACGGGTTACCGAGTAGAACTGTAACAGCAACTCTTCTCCCTGAGTC